CCTTTGAGGCCTTTCTGTCATCTCAGCCTGTGACTCAGCATCCTTGGCTGATGCCTGAGTAGCCTCTCACTTAGAAGGCCATGTGGACTGTTGTTGTTGGGGACTTTCAGGGTGGTGGCAGGCTGTGAAACCAGCCAGCTCTGATGGTGGGATGCCAGTTCACAGGAGACAGAAGGAAAAGGAGGCCTCTGCATAAGAGATCTGGGAAGGACCTGGGCTATTTGGCAGTGAGGATCCAGTGAAAGTCTATCCAGGCCTGGTTGCTGGACCCCAGGTCCTGACCCCATCTGTTCCCAGTGCTGTGGGAGAAGGGGCACCAGTCAGTAGTCTGTTGGGAAGGGCACAGAGAACGCACACAGCCCATGGGCACCAGGCACTCCAAAGACAGGACATCAATTCCTGGTCTAGCTACCTCTGTAAAACAGGTGACATGTGTAAGCATGAGTTTTCTGACCCAGAAGGTCTCACGGCCCTTGAGCCCCAAATAAACACTCAGACGCTATGTTAATTATAATACTGTTGGCTGCTGGCTATGGCTTCTATTGGCTAGCTCTGTCTTAATTTTTTTATTATATTTTATTTATTATGTGTACAGTCTTCTGCCCGCATGCCAGCAGAGGGCACCAGATCTCATAAGGGATGGTTGTGAGCCATTATGTGGTTGCCAGGAATTGAACTCAGGACCTCTGGAAGAACAGTCAGTGCTCTTAACCGCTGAGCCATCTCTCCAGCCCATCTGTCTTAATTTTTAACCATAACTACGTGGCCTTATTTTACCGGGGGATGCCAGACCTGAAAGCCCTTTGCCTGCTACATGATGACTGCTCAGCGTCTTTGCAGACAGTGATTTCCTGCTTATATCCAGATTCTGCCCAGCTACATCACTTCCTGTCTGGTCAATCAGCCAATCAGTGTTTTACTCATTAACCAATAAGAGAAACATACACAGAAGAACATTCCCCATCAGACATGTCTCATTGCAGGCATCCCATCTGCAGAACAGACCTCTGACATTCCAGAGTCCTCACTGGCCACATGTTCTATAAATCTGAAGGATGGATTTGACTCCATGGAGCTGAGTACCAACCTTCCCCTTCACCAGCTCCCCCAATCAATTTCATGTCTGTCAGTCCCCACCATGTCACACCTTCTCCAGGCCGCACAGCAGCTGGGGTGCTCATGCCCAGGGCTAGGGAGGAGGAACTCATCTGGGGCCATATCAGGAGTTGGGAGAGGACCCCAGCCACTATCCATTCCTGCTCAGGACCAGGCTGTACTTCCTGGTACACACAGACTGCAGAATGCTCCCTCAGATGAACTTCATGGAGGGCTAAGGAGCCTCCGACATCTGCCAGTCTTGCAGCTGCAGAGCCCAGAAAGACTTGTTTGTATGGGCACCCCAGAACCCAACACCCCCTGGGGGTGCAACTCAAGAACTTGGTGGGTCATAAGGTACAGCCCAGAGGGACACAGACACAGGATGCCGGTCTCCACCTCAGTGTAGGCCGGATCCCTTGCCTGCCCACTGGAGGTCCAGTCAGACTTGGTGGCCCTGGCATGTCGCGGTTTCCCTGTAAAGGGCGGGCAGTGACATCTCTTCCCAGGCGGGAACAAGTGCCATGTCATGACGGCACATTCACAAGTAGGTGCCCTGCAATCATCTTTCTCTGTGGGGAAATCAAGGCAGGAGTAGCTGAGAGCCCAGGTCCCGTGCAGTTCTCTAGGTCAGCTGTCCCTTTCTGGTTTGTGGTCCCCACCTACACACTGAGGTGTATGGGTTTGTGAGCCCAGGCAGGTAGGGGCAGCCACAGCTGGGCGGGGCCTGCAGCACTCCTCTGTTGTTGTCCTGTCAGGGCCAGGAAAGACAAGGACTGCTCAGTCAGATGAAGATGGCTTTAGCCATTGGCACATCACCTTTTCAAAAGGCTTTGGTGTGAATCCCCAAGGGTCTCTGCAGAAACTGGAGGATTTGCTCAGAAATATTAAGGGTGAGCTTCACCCTGCTCCCTCCCAGGCTGCCAACTGTGCCCCTCACAAAGCACCTTTCACCACATCCAGGAAGTAAAAACTCATCTTACAAAAATGGGGCATTTCCTACAAATGTTTCCTGCTTTAGAATTTTCTAATGGATCAAGGGAAAAAAAAATCCCAAATTAGTCATAGCACCATGATGGGCCCCTGCCTGGCAAGGTCTCTGTGGGCTGCACAGTGTGAACCTGTGCCTGAGTGGACAATGCCAGAGGCAGTTCCAGGAAGCAACATAGAGGGCAGATGCCATATGCCAGGAAAACAGAAAAACAACTTTAAATGAATTCTGTCTTCTGTATGTTTGGGTGGGGAGTTCGCCCATGAGCAGGTGACGACACAGTTGGAAAGACAGAGACGATGAACCTTCAAGAGGGTGTGTCCACCTGTCCCTTCTCCATCCCTTCGTTCCCTCTTTACTGTGGGTGGGCACTCGGAAGATGACCCTGCCTTCTCTCAGACTGGTGTTCAATTCCTGGTTCCCTTCTCCAGTCTTCCCTGAGCCTGTCTGGTATAGTGGCTGTGGTACGGTAGGTGCTGTCAGGTGCAGCCTCAGATAAAGCCAAGTGGTGTGTGCTGCCAGGTAAAACACCTGCAGTCGGGTAGCTGGCTTCTGCCAATCCTTTGTCTTCCGGATTCCTAGGTCTGGCAGGCCCCCTGGCATCTAGTCCGTGGGCCTCTGACCCACCCATGTCCACCCCCTTAGTGAGCTCTGTCTTGTGGCAGAAATACCATCTGATGCGGACAGTCCCCAGACAAGATCCTGTCCACCCTGGGTGTCCAGCAGCATCAGGTAACTGGCAGGGGCAAAGGGCACACTGGCTGGCTCTGCTCTCAGGATTGAGTACTAGGATTAAAGAAAGCCATGGCACCAGCCGGGAGGTGGTGGCGCACGCCTTTAATCCCAGCACTCGGGAGGCAGAGGCAGGTGGATCTCTGTGAGTTCAAGACCAGCCTGGTCTACAAGAGCTATTTCCAGGACAGGCTCCAAAACCGAAGAGAAACCCTGTCTCAAAAAAAAAAAAAAAAAAAAAAAAAGAAAGAAAGAAAAAAGAAAGAAAGCTGTGCACCACCACCACCACCACCACCACCACCAGGCAAATAAAAATTCAGGATGGCCTGGGCCACATAGTGAGACCTGTCTCAAAACAAACAAACCAAAAATCAAACCCAGACAGATGAAAGACAACAAAACAAAAGGCAGATGGGCTCACTGGATCAGGAGTTGCCAAACTACAGCCGAACTGGTTTTGCAATCACCTACGGCTTCTGCATCATGCTTAACCATTCTTTGATGCAGGGTTTCTCCACTGAAACCAGAGCTCCCCAGTATGGCTGGTCTAGCCAGCCAACTTGCTCAGGATATGCCCAGTCTCCATGTTCTGAACTCTATTTACCAGCACTGTGCCCGGTCTATAGTTAACACTCCCCCTACAATGTCTTCCAACAAACAATTACTTCACGTATACACTCCGTGTGTCCGTGTGTCCGTGTGTGCGCGCATGCTCGAGTGCGCATGCGTGCGTACGCATGCGGGCGTGCGTACACGACAGAGCGTGTGTGGAGGTCGAGGACAGCTCTGTGGAGCTGGTTCTCTTCTTCCACCTTTCCGTGGTGTGCTGGCTCGTGTATGTCAACTGCACACAAGCTGGAATCATTGGAGAGGAGGTAGCCTCAACTGAGAAAACAAAGACAGGGTTACAGGCAGGCCTCTAGGGCATCTCCTTAATTAGTGATTGATGGGGGAGGGCCCAGCAATTGTGGGTGGGGCCACACCTGGGCTGATGTTCCTGGGTTCTGTAAGACAGGCTGAGCAAGCCAGTAAGCAGTACCCCTCCATGGCACAGGCCTCTGTCCCAGCCTCTGGGTTCCTGTTCTGACTTCTTTTTGATGTGGAAGCGGGAGTTGAATAAACCACCCTTTCCTCCCCACATGGGTTTTGGTGGTGGTGCTTCATCCCAGCAGTAGTCACTCCAATTGAGACACGTGGGTTCCCGGAATTGAACTCAGGTTGATACAATAAGCATTTATTTATTGATTGATTTTTTTGAGACAGGGTTTCTCTATGTAGCCCTGGCTGTCCTGGAACTCACGCTGTAGACCAGGCTGGCCTCGAACTCACAGAGATCCACCTGCCTCTGCCTCCCAAGTGCTGGGGTTAAAGGCGTGCACCACCACTGCCTGGCTTATGTAATAAGCATTTTACCAGTTAAGCCATCTTGCCAACCCAAACAGAACCACACTCAAATCAAAGTCAAGCCGCAGCCACTGGTCCAAACCCTGAAGCTGACTGACCTCAGCCTCCTCTTGTGCCCAGGCTCTGGAGCAGGACCTGTGCCCTGAATTCACGTTTGCCCTCAGTTACGAGCACAGCTTCACCACCCCTGGTCCTGGGCTCTCCCTTCTGGTCTGCACCCCTGAACTATAAGCTGAGGATCCTGGAGCCCACAACCTGAGCTACTAGGAGACAGGGGTAACGATGCCACGCCATGTGCAATCTTGTAACCAGCCTTCTCTGAGGAACCCAGACACAGAGAAGGCTAGGGACACTCGGTCAGCAGGTGGCACTTGGCAGAGGAGCCATCGACCAGTCAGGCCCTCACAGGCAGCAGCCTCCAGCAACAGGGTGGACTGGTAGCCACTGTAGCTACACTGCACAGGGTCTTCCAGGGCACTGGCTCAGGGCCACGGCCCTTCTGGGAAGATGTTGGTTCAGTGAGGCCTGCTCAGAAGGCCCCGGCCACACCAAGGGCTCCCATCTGTGCAGACAGGCCTCCTAGGCTGGGAAGTATCAACAGCCCACCAAGCAAGAGTAAGGGAACTGAGAGGTTCTTGGGTTTGAGTCCCAGCACCCTCATGGTAGCTCACAACTGTCACTCCAGTTCAAGGGGATCCTATGCTTTCTTCTGGCCTCCACAGGTATCGGGCACACAGGTTGTACACAGACATACATGGATGCAAATCACACACGTGTAAACTTTTTAAATGAATAAATAAGCATTAAAAAAAAGAAGAAGCTGAGGTTTCTGGACTGGGCTAGAGACGCCGTTCCTTCCAGGAGGTGAGTCCACTATATTCTGAAGAGGCCAAGGTGGGAACAAATGGCCACTGCCTACGGGGACTGGCGCTGAGAGCAGAGTGGCTGGCTACAGGTCACGTCCCTGTCAGCTTGGACAGTGGGAAGAGGGAGAGGCAAGAGTGGGAGATAGTCCATGGCCATGAAATGGGACTCTCTGTGGTCTCACCTCCCCAAGCCCAACACAGCAGAGAAGGACAGGCAGGTGACACAAAACATTTTTAAAAAACAATGAGGCTAACTTATTTTACTATAAAACACCTGCAGGCATGCTGACAGTAATGTCCTGAGCACTGGGGTTCCATGAGGGGTGCCTCTCACACCGGCTGCTATCCTACCCTTAGCCCTGTGTCTTGGGATGGAACCTGGACACCAGCTGCAGCGCTGAGCATCTGCTTCAGGCTTGGTTTTTCATCCTAAGGGTGATGTCACTTAGCATTCAAAGATGGCCGTCTGTGTTGCTCCAGAAGCTCCTCTAGGTGGTCTGCCCGTTTCACAGCGGCCTGCAACACGTTTCAGTCAGGCCCCAGACGCCCCCCCCCCCAGGCAAAACCCTCACAGGCCCACAAGGGACTCACCTCGTGCTGTTTCCGGAGACTGTTCACGGCCTCCTCCTTCTTGGCGAGAGCCGTCTTCACCCTGCAGTGGAGTGAGATGGGCTTCTGCGTAGCCCCCAACTTCCGCACCGGGTCAGCCTGAGGGCAGCCTCCTACCACCTGGTCTCCACCCTGCTGACCCTGACCTGAGCAGCTGGCCCTAGGCCACTGTCTCCATGAGAACCAGATGCTAAGGTGGTTCTTGGAAGGGAGGTGGCTGGGCACGGTGAGAAGTCATTTCATGACTCTGTCTTGTTCTGTTAGCCACACAGGCAGGCAGCCTCCGCCTCAGGAAGGACTAAGATGCTGGGTGCTCACTGTCACCCTCCCTGCAGCAGGCCCCCTGCTGAACAACACCTCCTTGGAGAAACATGTGGGCCCTCCCCAGCCCTGATGGGACACTCGGTGCTCCAGAACTAAGTGACACCCGGGGGAAAGGCACAAAGCCGGGAGCCATTGAGCTCCTGCCAGTGGACCATGTCTGCACTGTGTGGAAGAGAAAGGAAGATGAATGACCCCTACCCCGCCCCCCTGCACCGACCTGAAGTCCTGACCACCCACCTCCGATGCACCTCATCTAGCTCCATCTGCTGGCGGGCCTGCAGCTCAGCAAGCTCCGCCTTCACCCTCTGGTTTTCCTCCTGGGAGGCTGCCAGTTGGTCTGCAAACTCCTGTCGGACCACCTGGGCCAGGCTGGCCCTCTCACCGCACATCTGTGTGTTCACCTGGGCAGCGGGGGAGGCTGTGAGTGGGCTGGCAGGATGGAGGGCTCCGATGCAGAAAGGGCCTGGGGATACTTACCACCCTCACGTCTTCCAGTTCCTTCTCCTTCTGCCGTACCAGGGACTGCAGGCGCTCCTTCTCCCCCTCGGCCTCCCCGAGGCGGCCTTTCAGCTCTGTGCACCGCTCCTGGAGCTTCCGCTCTGACTGCTCCAGCTCGGAGAGCTCCAGTTCATACTTGTCCCGCACACGCTTCACGCTGGCAGGCACAGGAGGGATGAAGACAAACTGCTGCTCCCACGGCTTCTGCTCCCGGCCCTCCCCATCTGCAGAACCAAAGGCAGGGGGCAGCTCACCGGCTCTCGGCCGCCCTCTCGCTCTCCTCCTTGACCAGTGCCATGTCGGCCTCCAGTCGATGGATGACCAGCTCGATCTCCTGGTCTCGGCCTTTTCGGATCTCTTCCTTCAGTTCCCGTTCCCTGTTCAGCATCCATGCTTCCTGTAGGACACAAGGAGTCACAGAATCTGTCACCAGGACAGAGGGTAGGAGAAGCTGGAGACAGTGGCAGGACTAGCCTCGTGGACTCCGGGGAATGGTCCTTGCTTTGAGCCACAGGTCAGGGGTATCAGAGGACCTTTGTGAGCACAGTGGCATGAGATGGCCTTGGCTAAGAAGGCCACCACTGTAACAGGTTATTCATCTCTCTTAGAGAACTAGAGCCCAAGACAATCAACTACTACTGTCTGCTAGACAGGCCAAGCCAAAATGGCAAACCTGCCCTGGGGCCAAGGGGCCTCAGCGGATTCTGAAGGGCACAGGTGGGTGACACTTGGAGGGGACATCCTCTCAGGACCTGCCCATCCTATTTCCTCCTGTTCTAATTAAACAGCCAGCAGCAGGGCACAGCTAGGGATGAACCACCAAACCCCAAAGCAGCTACAAGGGACACCCAGAAGCAAGTGCCCAGAGAGCCCTGAATGGCAGCCCACTCTGGCTGCTCCTACCTCCTTCTTGGCACAGCTGGCCACCCACGCCTGTCTCTCAGCTTCCAGCTGGTCCTTCAGGGCTTTCAGCTCCATCTGGAGGGGACATGCTGTGAGTAGCCCCAGGGCCACTACAAGGCCCTGCCCGCCCTGTTGAGGGGTCAGGCAAAAGACAGAAGACACTCCCTCCTCCACTAGAGGCTAGATTCAGCCAGCGTTCTGAGGGGTGGCACGCCAACCTGATGCCTCTGCTCTTGTTCCTCCCGGCTCTTCTCAAACTCGGCTCTCAGGGTTTGAGTCAGAGTCGCGCTGCTCTCCTCCAGCTCTGCCCGCTGCCTGCAGGCCAGCAAGAGTCAGGGAACAAGAGTCAGTCACTGTGAGGGGGCTGAGCGGGCTGGCATCACTGTGAGAGAACAGCCCTCAGCAGCACCTGGCTGCCTGCTGGCCCAGTCGCTCCTTCTCTTCAGCCACCTCATTGTAGAGTCGCCGCCGCTGCTGCTCCAGGGCCTGATGTTCCTGCTCCAGGTGCTGCTCAAACCTGCAGGACAGTAAGATGTGTCCACCATGGCGGTGGCCACTAGCCAGGGTAGCCACATCAGCTCCCGGGGACCCTCTGTTGTTGGCGGCACCCTCTGCAGCCCCATAGGATGCTATGACACGGCCTCAGCTCAATGAGTTTGGGGCTCAGTGTGTCCTTACACTGGCCTCCCTCTGCTTAGGTCCACTGTCAGGTGAGAGCCAGGCACCTGCTTCTTTGACCTGAGCAAGCTCCTGCATGGCTGGTACCCTTGTCCTTCCTGAGAGTGGGAGGGCACAGGTCAGCCAGACGTGTTGAAGAGGGCCAGTGGGTCACGTAAGAGAGTCCAGCCTGGAGCCACTGACAGTGAAGGAGGGGCTGTATACTGGCTACTGGTGCCTAGGGAGTCCCAGGCTCTGACATCACAGCCTGGTCATACCTGCGAGTGGTGAGCCCTGGAGCTGAGGGAGTGAATAAGGCTGTCTGTCCTCTGCAGCAGATCAGCCTGCACATTACTGTGTGCTCAGCTTAGAGTCTGGACATCTGAGTACTGTGACAGCAATGTCATGTGACCCCCACAAGGGCGTCCCACTGCACTGGCCCGGCAGCTGGACTGCACAAGCCCAGCACAGGCAGCTGCTGTTCCAGGGGGAACCAGGGGCTGCTCTAAGACCCCAGCCTCCGGTGCCCTCCTACCTCTGCTGGGCGCGTTCACGCTCCTGCCTGGCCAGCGCCTCCTTCTCGCGCTCTAGGTGTTCCCGCAGCTCTTCTTCCTGGCGCAGGTGGCGCTGTGCGGCCTGCTCCTCACGCTGCTGCAGCTCAGCCTCGTGCAGGCCCCTGAGCCTCCTCACCTCTTGCTTGTGTTTGGCAATGAGTTTCTGGATCTCCGGCTCCAGACCTGTGGGGACAGGGGTTGCACCAGAGACAGGGCTGCGAGGCCACTCCCATCCAGTCAGTGCCCGAAAGCACCACAAGCCAGATAAACTATGGAAAGAGAAGAGGCAGGGACTGCACCCTAAGACCCATCTCCAGGAGTGTCCTGGAGACACCATCAGACCACAGTGGCTTTTCCAGCCTGTGGTACACACGGCCACCCAGCCCCCTGGTGTGTCTCCCAACGGCACAGTGTGCCAGATCCTGGACGAAGAGGACTTAAGGTAAGGAGAGTGGCTCCCTAAAACCACCCATGTCCACGGCTCTTTCACACACCAACTCTGTCAGCTTAAAGGGCCCTGGTACTTTTCTATAGTTTTCTCTGGGGTCTGCAGTGTGACCTACACGCCAGTCACCTACTCCCCCTCAGGCGTCGGTGAACTGGGAGTAAGCAGCTGAAGCGGGGCTTGTGTCTACCTGCCACAGGCAGCCTTCACAAGGGTCTCGCCCAGGAACACCTATCTATGCTCAGTGCTGTACCATATGGGACTGAAGTCACCACTCTCTCTGAAGTGTCCCCAACTCCCACCAGGGCGGGAAGCCCCCCACCTCTGACTGTGATTTCTTTGATCTTTTTTGTTTTCTCATTGATCCACTTCTCACGGCGGATTTTCTCAGTGGCACTCATGAGTTCTTTGAGTTTCTTAATCTCCTGGGTAAAGAACACAGGAAGTCGGAGTGCAGAGATGAAAGGGGCATCCCGAGTCCCCTGTCCCCTTGCTACCTCCTGGGCCTGTACTCTGCAGCTCCTTCCTCTCCCCCAGGGGTGGGGACTACCCTACCACATGTATTCCAGCCTGAGGCACTAGGTAGGGTGGCTACAGCCACCGGCTTGTAGAGGTCTCAACCCCAAGAGGGATGCCTCCCTCCGCTGGAACTGAGGCCATACTGAAGGGCCGAGAATGAAGGGGACATAGGAAGGAAGAGGAGCCCTCCACCTGGGAGCTGGTGTGCCTGTCCTGATGACAGACACCATCGACAAAACCTCAGCTGACTACAGGGACAATGCATGTTTTCTTAAAGACACCTCCAAAGGAAACTAAAGGCATAAATGGTTTATAACCTTGTTTAAGCAATTCTCTCCTCTCTAAATCTAAGCAATGGCCTTCATACATTTACCTTACAGAACCACACTTACAGAAAGAAAAAACTTTTCCCCCCAAGACAGGATTTCTCTGTGTAGCCTTGGCTGTCCTGGAACTCCCTCTGTAGACCAGGCTGGGATTAAAGGTGGGCGCCACCACTGCCCAACCCAGAAAGAAATTCTTTAACCCCTAAATCTTACGCATTACACGCTCCAACAATATGACCTAGAAAACTATGGGACCATGCATACATCCATGGTGAAGAAAGCCCAGGTCTGCTTGGAGAAGCCACACTCACAACTGTAGGTCTCCTCAGTACCTGTATCGATTTCTGTGCTTAAGATCTACAGAAGCCAGGCGTTGGTGGTGCACGCCTTTAACCCCAGCACTTGGGAGGCAGAGGCAGGCGGATCTCTGTGAGTTTGAGACCAGCCTGGTCTACAAGAGCGAGTTCCAGGACAGCCTCCAAAGCCACAGAGAAACCCTGTCTCGAAAAAACCAAAAGAAAAAAAGAAGAAGAAGAAGAAGAAGAAGAAGAAGAAGAAGAAGAAGAAGAAGAAGAAGAAGAAGAAGAAGAAGAAAAAGATGGAGGGGGGGTGTCCCCTTGGGCTGTTGGAGATGGCTTGGAGCAACAACTCTGACAGGAGAGCCCAAGAGCTGCAGTCTCCAACTCTGGCTGTGGGTTATGGATGCTGGGGTCTCTCTATTGGAGCCAGCCCCTCCTCACTTGGGTCTGGGCTCCAGTCTAGGTGTCTTCAGAGACGCCAGGTCTATGCTCTGAGGAGCAGCACAGCCAGGTGGCGGAGTCAGACTTAACCAGCTTCTGCAATCAGGTGGGAGCTGAGGTACACAGAACATCGAAGATGGACGGTTCTGTTACTCAGGACTTCGCTGGACTCCTGGGTCTATGGCCGCTGTCCGGTGAGAGGGGCCAGGTAGGCTGTGCATGCTTACCTGGGATGTGGCAGATACACCTCAGAATACAGTTCAAGAAGAGGGAGAGGCACCAAAAAGGTAAAAACAAAAAGCTGGGTGTGGTGTTGCACGCCTTTAATCCCAGCACTCAGGAGGAAGAGGCAGGAGGATCTCTGTGATTTCAAGGCCAGCTTGGTCTACAGAGTGAGGTTCAGGACACTAGGTCTGTTACACAGAGAAACCCTGTCTAAAGAAGCAAGCAAAATCTCAAAAAGTAGGAAAGGGAATGAAGGAGAAGGTACTGGCAATCTTTTCACCAGCCGCCTGGACCTGCATCCTCAGGCCACGATGCCGTGTGCCCCAGGAACTCGCTCATAACCAGTACCATCAGGGAGCTCACCAGCTCGTGCTGCTCCTGCATCTGGGCCACGCGCTCCTGACACCGCTGGTCCCCATGCTTCAGCTCAGCTACCACTGCCTCGCACTTCTCACTCAGAATCTTCTTGTCTTCAATCAGCTGTGATGGGGGTGGGGTGAGGCTCTGATGCCCACCCCAAGGCACCTCCACTAGACCAGCCAGCTAGAGAACTACCTTGGGGCCTCGGCCACAGTGGGCTTGCAGCCAGCCAGCGTTGTGCTCTGGTGGAGGGACAAGGACACCAAGCCTGGGTCTGCAGACCAACTCCTCTCACCCCACACAGCCTCCCAGAGCTTTGTCACCTGGTCAATAAAGGACAAGTGCCGTTGGATGGTGGCCTCATAGTGCTCCTTCTGCTGTCGCAGCTGCCGGCTCAGCTCCTTCTCTGTCTCCTTGACACGTCGAATGGTGAGGTCCCGCTGCTGCGCCTGCAGGGGGCATGCACAGGAGGTACTGGCATCGGGTCCCTACCAGAGACCAAGGGCTATGTGGGAAAGAAGGCGAAGACATAGCCTTGGGATGGCGATGGCTCAGGCCTCTTCAGTAGGATGTGGCGGGCCCCGTCCCAGCGCGAGCCCGGATGGCTAATGGCCTCACCAGAGCTCTCTGAAGGAGAACCATGGCCTGCTTCTTCTCCTCCACCTCCAACTTCAGCCGCATCATGGACGCACTCCTCTCAGAACCCAGCTCCAGGAGCCTTGGGCCCGCCTCCAGCACCAGGCTCTGAGGATATGACAGGACTCAGGCAGGCCACCCAGCAGCTACCACCCACCTGATACCCACCCTCCATGGGGGGGTCACTACAAGGATGCCCCTGCTCCACTCTGCTGTGAGGGAGCAACAGCTGCACGGGGCATCTGGTTGAGGGACGATGGGTGACAAGTTAGCCCATGAAGACAGCATTTGTTCTTCAGTGCAGAGGGAGAGCTATGGCCTTGGCGCTCTAACGCAGGTCATCAGACATGATCTATCCACTCCTGACCTTCCTGCCCCCCATGAAAACAAGACATCACTCCATTCATCATGGTCACTGTTGTTCACTCAGGAAAGACAGCCCAAGGAGACCAGAGCCCAGGGATTTCAGCTCCATTCACCTGGACAGGATGACCCACCTAGACGGGGGCAGCCCTGTCAGCCTTCACCTATTCGGAACTCAGGAGTGGGACTGCTTGCTGCACAGGGGCCTTGTGAGTGGTCACTTCCCGCTGGGAGCCTCCCCCCCAGGGCCTGGGGCTGACTACCTCCCGATGGGGCGCCGGCTGGTCCTGTGCCGACCTCTCCATCTCATCCAAGAAGTTCATGATGCTTTGCAGTTTTGCCTCTGAGAGCAGGGTGCCGTCATCGGGTGGACCTGGGGGTGCACTCAGTTTCCCAAACTTCTCCAGGTTGTCGGCTGTCAGGGAGTTGGTGTCATCCTCCTGCAGGCGGCCCAGCATTGGAGGCTGTCAGGGAAGCTGAGGACTTG